TCAGGTCACTGTGTGGGCCCAGCCGCGGTGGCGGAGGGGGTGGTGGTCAGTGCGTCTAAGAGATGCGAATGCGGGTTAGGTTCCCGTTTCGGAGGCTGCGTGGGCGCATTCCACCCGTGAGACAACTCGCTGTCCATCCAGCGCGGGAGCACGGGCGTCTGTGAGGGGACACACATGTCACTGCGCTGGACCTGCGCGGGCCTCCTCCCCTTCCCGGGGCCAGTCCGCTCCTCGCCGCCACTGCCTCCGCGCTGGCGCTGCCCGGAGGCCCAGTGCTGCTGCTGCTCCGCGGGCAAGGAGGTGCTGCGTTGTGGGGCTGCGACTGGGCGGAGGGGTCGCCCAGTGAGGGCCACACTGGGGGGGAGGGGGGGACGCACCTTAAAGGGCTCCTCCCTTTTCTCGGCCCAGGGGACGGTGGGGCAGAGGGCCTCACATTCCTCTGCGGGCACTCAGCCCTGTTTGGCCCCTCGAAGGGCAGCTCATCCGAATTTCAGAATGCTTTCTCCATGGCAGCCTCCGGCAGCGTGGAGGGAGGGGTGCCGGGGGAGTGTCAAGGTCGCTTCTCCACCTGGCTCCTGTTCGGGCGGGTCTGCTAGGGCTCTGCTGTCCTGGGGGAGGACGCGGGGGAGGGCCCCTGCAGGCGTCTGCAGCTGCGAGACCTGCAGCTGCGAGGGGCGGTTTCCTGGCCCTGCTCCCCTCACGTGTGAGGACGGAGATGCGGGGCTGTGCCCCCCCCCCCCGTCTGTGGAAAGTCTCACGCTCGTCCCCAGGCCATCTGTCATTAGGGAAGCCCAGCAGCTGGGCGCTGGCTGTCCGTGGCCCCCGCGTCACTGCTGTGCGCTGTGGGGGCGGGAGACCTGGCAGGGCGTGGGCCCAGGTTTCTGCGCGCACAGCACCCTGGGAGTCCTCCCCCGGCTGCCGGACCGTGCCGGGAGGTCAAGGCCACCTGTGCCTCTGTCTGCTTGGCCTCCGGCTGGGGTTCGCCCACAGTGGGTGTTAACTGACCAGTGGGGTTTGCCCACGATGAGGAGGCGAGAACAGCATGTGCACTGGCAGCAGCCCGGGAGGGTCGAGGTCGCCCTCAACCCTGTGTGGGGAAGCCACACGGACCCCTGACCTTGACTTGGCCGGCTGAGGCAGATGGGTCTCCGCAGGCCTCCGCTTCCTCCTCTGGGGTGGGAGAGACCACTCGTGTCCCGGGAGGGGGAGGCAAGCAGTTCCGCTGGCAGCTGGGAGTGTGGCTGCAGGAGGCCGTGCGTCTCCGAGCCACGTCTCCCCCGCCGTGCGGTGGGGTCGCCCTGCTGTGGAAATTTCCGCGCTGTGATAAGGACGTGGCAGTCAGAGCTGTCTTGGCGCCCGCCAGCCCCAGGCTCAGACCAGCAGGTGATGAGCACGAGGGGACTGTCGCAGCTGTGGTGTGGGCACAGCCGCGTGGGCACAGCCGCGTGGGCATCCTGGCCCGAGCTCTGTGGGGTTTGGCTGCCAGAGGAGGGTCCCGGCTGGGGCGCGGGGAGGCAGAGGACGTTAAAGGAAGTAAACCGAGCAGGAGCTTCCAGAAGCCAGGCTTCGGACTTCCAGGCCTTCCTCTGGGACTCCCCCCTGCTCCTGAGAGGCCCGCCGAGGGCTGGCTGCTGGGTCGCAGCGGGAGCTGTGGTCGACAGCCGGGGCGTGCGGGCTGGGGCTGGCCTGTCACGCCGCGACCTGGCGCTGCCGGCTCCCTCTTGCGCGGCACGAAGGAGTGGGTGGCTTTGCCCTCAGGGCGCTCTGCGGCACAGACGTCCCGTGACCCTGTGACCCGCCGGCCCCGCCGCTGTCTGCAGCCTCATGTGTCTGGGAGTCGGGACCCGCTCTGTTGGGATCCTGGCTGTGGCCGCTTAGTAGCCGAGTGACCTTGAGCTGAGGATTTGACCTTCACACAGCCCAACAGAGGCCGCGGGCAGGAGCAGGGGGCGGAGAGCTGCCGGAGCCTGGGTGGTGCCGGGCAGAGGGGCCCACACCAGCCGGACCACCTCTCTCCCGTCCTGAGCGAGCAGCCGCGGAGTCGGCTTTCGCGTCCCGTCAGCCTCTGCCTCGGGCTGTGGACCGGCGGAAAGGCACTTTGACAGGGAGTTTTGTGTGGACACTTCCCTTGTAATTTCTCACATAAGAGGTTTCTGGTAACATTTGGCTTCCCGTTTCCACGCTTGCGTGTCGTTTCCAGCCCTGTCGCAGAGCAGCACCCGGGGCTTGGGGTGCATTTCTGGGAACGGTGCGGTGTGGGCCAGGGCTGGGGGCGCGCTCAGGAAGGCCGAGAGGGGGCTTGCGGCTGCTGAGCTGGTGGCTGGCGACCGCAGGCACACGCTCTCTTGGAGACCTGTCCGCACCCGGAGCCGCCTGCAGGAGCCGCCTCTGGGGGGCAGCGGGCCAGAAGGCGGGACGACGCGGTGCCTGCTGACCCCACACGGGGCACTGGGGAACCGGAGTCCTGGGCCGTGAGGATGGGTGGGCGGGGCGCACGGAGAAGGGGCCACTGTGGACTTCCCCCCGGGGTGGGGGGACCTGGAGCACTTGGGGCTGGCCGTGGTGACAGCCGGGTCACTGAGTGCCCAGAGTGCGGCACGCCCTTGCTCAGCGCTGCCCTCCACGGCCCCTGGGTCGTGCACGGCAGTTCTCCGGCACCCTGCCTCGGACCGCCAGCCCGGGGCTCCGTCACCGCCCGAAGGCGTGCGGCCCTCCGGGCAGGTGGGCGGCAGGTGAGGGAAGAGACTGGAGCTCGAGGGGGGGTGCATGTGCGTTCGAGGAAAAACTGCCCGCCGTGGTGGGGGGGCGGTGTGTGTGGCGGGAGGGCTGGCAGACAGCAGACGGGCCACAGCTTGTCTGTCGCGCCCCTGTCCCCAGCCTCCAGCCACCACCCATCTGCTTTCTTTCCTGATGGGCTAGTTTGTATGTTCTAGAATCTGACCCACCTCTGACCCTAGTTTCTCTCACCCAGTAAAACGGCCATGAGATTCGTCCCTCGTATTTCCCAGTGGTTTCCTTGTGTTTCTGAGGAGTGTGCCGTTTGCGGGTGTGCCGGTTTCTGTGCCGGTGGGTGTTCACGTTGCTTCCAGTTTGGGCTCATTAGAAGTAAAGCCGCCATGAACGTTCCCACGCAGGTTGTTGTGTGGACACAGGCGCCAGTTTTCTTGGGTAAACGCCTCGGACTGGAACGGCTGATCAGTGGCTGGTTGTGCGGTCCCACCGGCAGTGCGAGCCGTGCCGCTCCTCGCCATCCTCGCCGAGTGCGGCGTCGGGCGTCCGGTCGGCTCTGACCGCTCTCGCGGGCGACTCTTTGTGGCTTAGCTTCCGTCTCTCCCACGACAGATGGCATGAAACGTCTTCTCTTGTGCTTCTTCACCGTTGTGTGTCGAGTGAAGTGCTTGTGCAAGTTTCACACCCATTTACAAATATTTTTTAAATGCAAACATTTTAAGTTCTTTATATTCTAGAAACAAGTCCTTTATCAGACATGCAATTTACAGATTTAAGTCTGTGGCTTATCATTTTATTATCTTAGTAGTGTCTTTCAAAAAGCAGCTTTTAATTTTGGTGACGTTGAACTTACCATTTTTTTTCTTTTATGGGTTTGATTTTGGTGTTGTATCTAAGGAATCTGCTTAAACTAAGGCCACAGAGGGTTTTATGTGTGTTTCTGCTGATTTTATGGCTTTGTGTTTTATGTTGGGTCTGTGTTCCTTTTCGAGTTAACTCTTGTGTGTGTGCTACTACGTGTGGGTGTGGAGTAGCTGCAGCCCCGTGTGCCGAGAGGACCGTCCTTTCTCCGCTGCGCCGCCATCCCGCCCGTGTCTGTGGTCCCTCGCACGCTCGGGCCTCTCCCTCCCACCCCCCCCCCCCCGTGTCCGCAGTCCCTCGCACGCACGCGCCGGTCAGCGGCGGTGCACAGTTCCCAGGGGCAGGGCATGCACACCTCTCGCCAGACTGACCCCTGTATGTCTTCTTGAATGTCAAGGTGTGGCTATTTGTTGCTAGTATATAGAAATACAGTTGATTTTTTGGTATATTAATCTTGTATGTAATAATCTTACTAAATTTACCAGATCTAGTATCTTTTTATAAATTTCTTCAGTTTTTTAAAATAGACCCAGTCATGACGTCTGCAGATAAAGGCAGCTTTGCGTCTTCGCCGTGTCTTTTCTCTGGCCGTGGCGCACTGGCGGGAGCCCCCAGGGAAAGGTGGGGCAGCGGGAGCGGCCGTCCTCGCCTGCTCCGTCTCCGCAGGGGTTTCTGCCGAGAAACCTGCCGATGGGCTCACGGGGGGTTCCCCTGTGTGCTTTCCACATTTTCTTCTTGTCTTGAACTTTCGGCCTTTTAATTATAATGTGCCTTGGTGGGGCCGCTCTGGGTTCCCATCTGGGATTCTTGGGGCTTCTGAGTCCGGATGTGTGCTTCCTTCCGTGGGGCAGGGAGCAACTTGCCAAGCCGTCGTTTCCGTCAGTTCCGAGTGTGCAGGGGTCTTGGGCAACCCCCGGCCTGCCTCAATTTTTTTCTTGGCTTATGACGTGTAGCTGACGGTCTTGATTGTGTCTCCTTGGTGCACTGTCACTTGTAACACCGTTTGGGAGATTGGAAGACGACCTAACAGACGTTTCCACACGCAAAACATCAGCCGGTGGCTTGCCGGGGAGTTCAGTCTTGTTGGACAGCGGACTCCGTGTCCGCACCCCCACCCGAACCACGCTTTCCAGTGATTCCCGCCACACGCAGCGTCACAAGCTGCCCTTGCCGCCGTGCGCGCGTCCGGACTCAGGTTTCCTCTGCAGGCCCGTGGGGACGGCTGGGTGGGCCGCTGCACTCCCGTCTGGCTGGGCAGCTGGTCGGCCGTGCCTGTGCGCGGGCGGGCGGGCGCCATGCCTGGGAGGAGTGGGGTGAAAGCATCAACCAGAAGAGTGGCCGTGTGGTAATAGCAAGTGGCACTTGCTATTTCAGAACGCAGGAATTCACGAACGTTTCTTTTATTGCAGGTATTTCTTGGTGGATTTTTATGCACCAACAGCAAGTGTGCACAGCATAATGGATCACTTGTCTCGAGACATTGACGTGATCAGACCTAACATCATGAAGCACCCTCTGACCCAGGAAGTGAAGGAGTGTGAAGGGATTGTCCCCGTCCCGCTCGAAGAAAAACTGTATTCCACCAAGAAGAGGAAGTGAGAAGATTCACCAGATTTGGGCCTTGTGTTTAATTCACTGTCTTCAGAGCATCGTGGATTAATCACTTACAAGCTTGGCCTTTGTAATAAGTGGGCCCCAGGGGCCGTTTGAGTTTTCTAGGCACTGTTAGCTCCTGGTCCCCTTTGCTGTGGGGGGCGGGGGACGGCGGCCGGAGCCACTCTGCGACCTGCGTGGTGCCGGCAGGTGGTTCCCGCCTTCGCTAGATTCAGTGCAGTGTCTCTGTCAGTGAGGTCGCCCCGCCCTGCGACACTCACGCCATTTTAAGTGACAAAACATGAAACTGTCTCGGATCGCGAGCTGGTCATTCAGACTGTATAGCTTTGTGAAATAAAATACCACTGTAAAACCACGCTGTGTCGTATGAGTAACTTCTGATCAGAGTGATGAACTTGACTTTCAAACACCTGGGGAGGTGCTCGGGCTTCACTGGCCCCCGTGCAGAGCCCTACCCCCGGCCTCGGCGCTCCAGTCGCCCCGGATGCCGGGGTGCGGGCGGTGGGCCACGTTTCCCGGAGACCAGCCCGGGTTCAGAGACCCGGCGGAAGGGCCGGGAGGAGGCCGCCCCCGGTGACCGGGCGTGCTGTGCAATCAGCACCTTTCCTCTCGCCGCCGATGTCATGGTGGGTGCGGTCTCTGTGGAGGGGCACGTGTGTCCCGTGCAGCGGCGCTCTGGCACGCGAGTGTCCGCCACCGCCCTGGGCTCGCGGCCCGGGCGGGCCTCTCCGAGCACCCGCCCCCTTTGAGTTCTGCTCTGCCCGCTGCGCGCTCCCCGACGAGGCTGGCGCCGGCCGCTCTGGAGAGGGTGCTGCCTGGAGATCTCCCAGCGGCCGTGCCTGTGGCGTGCTGCACTCTTCGCTTAGGAGGACTTGCAGGAAGAAAAATCTTAAAAATGTTTCAAAATTTGAAACTTTTAGATCTATTTAAAAAAACATATAGAGATAAAAAGATAAGTTTTGCTTTGAGGGTTATTGCTTTGGCAGGGGAGAGGTTGGCTTTGGGGTGTCATGTGTATGAGCCTAAGCACAAACTAGTCTTGGCTTGAAATGGATGCGGCAGGGTCCCCACAGTTAGCAATAGAAATGTCGGGTGCCCTTTAAATTTCGTGTAAACAACAAATCATGTTTCCCATGAGCATCCTCCAAATGTTGCATGAAACATAATTATAGCAGAAAACCCCAATGTGTTCTTTGAAATTCAAGTTTACTGGGGTGTAACTCCCCCAAAGACATCAGCAGTGCTCAGCTGGAGGCGGGGTCTGCTCTGCTCTGCACAGCCCCCGAGAAGGAGGTGGAGTCAGCTCCCAGCAGCTCGGCCTTGCAGCTCCCTCGCCCACCCCACGAGGCCAGTCGGAGGCGCCCCGGGACTTGCAGACCGGAGCCCACTCTTTTCCCTGACCCACTGGAAGACTCCTGTAGAAGCTGACCGGTCCTCCATTCCCGGTCAGTTCCAGGCGATCTGTCCCGTGGACCCGAGTTCCTGCCATCATCTAAGAATCAGTGCGAGCCCCCCCCCCCCCGCCTTTGGAAACCGTGCTTTGGGAGGTCTCACGTGTGGCGCCGGCCCCGCCCCGGGAAGCTGGTGCCCAGGGCGCCGCAGGTGATGCTTTTTCCTGGACCGCCCCTGGCAGCCCTCCCGTCTCCTGGGAGCTGGTGAAGCGAAGGAGTGTGACCGACCTGCCCACCAGCCCGGGTGCCCTGAGCGGGTCTCGCAGCAGCCCCGCTGACAAAGCCTCTGCGTGTCAAGTGCCGGGGCGGAGCCACATTCTCAGGGGACTCCCCAGCTCTGTCACCCTGTCCGTTCAGATCTCGTGCAGGCAGGAGGGGGCCCGGGGCTGGGCCCTGCCTCTGGGTGACCTCTGCGCTGAGGCTGGAGCTCAGGGAGGGGTGAGAGTCAGACTCCCCAAGAGCCCGGGGGGCCCCAGTGGCTCCCTGGTCCCAGGCTTCCTCCCTCCCTGACGCTGCTGCTGGGCTCGGCCCTGGAGATCCGATTTGTCACTTTCTTAAGAGCCCAGACAGTCTCCAGCTCCGACTTCCCCCCGAGGCAAAAAGTTAAAAACCGCCTTTGAAGAGCCATAGTTCAGTGGAGAGGGTCATTAAGGGCCGTAGACGGGAAGTGGAAGGGATGAAGTGGAGATTATCTGGGAAACATGCGACTTCCTGTTCGAGGAGGAGTTCCCTGAAAGCGCGGGCCCCTGGCCAGGGCTCGCGGGCTCCGGGAGCGCGCCCTGCCGCCGGGAGCGCGCTCTGCTGCCGGGTGCGCGCCCGCCTCCACGCAGGGGCCCCCCTCCCCGACGCTTACCGCGCGCACGCTACGTGCCGAGGGCTGTGCTGCGCGCCTTCTGCCTGCCATGCGGCTCGGTTCTCTCTGCAGCTCTGCCAGGGGGTGTCGTCGTCCCTAGTGTCTGAATAAGGGACTGGCTCCGAGAGACTCACTGTTGGCCCACAAGGTCCCAGGGACAGCGAGGGCCGTGACCAGGAGAGCCCTGACACCGGGCGGTCTTCTCCACCCGGGAACGCGAGCTTGCCCCCGTCCTCCCCGGGGAAACGGGCGCCTGGGGATCCAGGGTGCACGATCGCCACCCGGGTAGTGACGCTCGTCCTTGTGGCCGGGCTGCGGCGCTGGCACTTTCTCCTCCCTTGCCCAGGCCGAGCACTTGCCGTCAGAGGCTCAGAGGCGCTGCTCCGGTGGCCCGCTCCTGCGGCGGACGTCACGCAGCAGGGCAAAAGGCCGTCCTGTCCTCGTGGGCTGCTGGGTGGGAAGGCAGGAGAGGGCGTGTGCCGCCGATGTGGGCGCGCTGCAGGGGGGTGGGGGGGACAGAGGATGCAGGCCGAGACCCAAGCGTGAGGACCGGGCCTGTGACAGCAGAGGCGGTGGCCTGAGGCTCCGAGCGGGACAACAGGGTGGAGGGAGTGGGGCTGTGACAGCACATCGAGAGCCCAGCTCTGGGAGACGAGGCCCCGGGGAGCTCGGGGCCTGCGGAAGCGGAGGGGTCCCGGCAGCACCAGGGGCCGGGCCTCAGGTGATGGTAGGCTCCCGTGCATTTGCCGGCTGCAGTACGGGGTCCCCCCCAGCTTCCCGAAGGCCTTGGGTGTCTGCTTGAGGGGGGTGGCGGGGGGGAGAGGGAGACGGAGGGCCCAGGACGATGGTCTCAGGTGTTTCTCGGACGCTGCTCTTCCCGGAGACACACGTCACAGGAGCACTCGGCAGCCCGCGAGTCAGGGCCGGGGGAGCCCCGCAGGGCAGTCATGGTGACGGCGGTGAGACATCTGCGGCTGCCCCCCAACACCTGGGGCGTAAACAGACTTCTTCCTCGCGGCTCCGGGAGGCCAGGGCCTGCCCATTCCACAGACAGGGGTACCTGAGGCTCCCAAAATACCAGACTTGTCCAAGGCTGCAAAGGGTTGGGGGCAGGGAGTCGGGAGCACTTTTCAGCCCACTGCACCCTTCTGGGGGTGGGCACTGCCAGTCCCCGGGGTGCAGGCCATGCTCTGGGGGCCCACCCGGGCTCCCCCGCTGTGGGAGGGGAGAGCGGATCTGGGATTGATTCCTCAGACGTGTGTTTCACCCCTGAGCTTGAGAGAGAGGTCCTGAGAACGACAGAAGCAAACGTCTGTGTGCCCTGGAGACCTGGCCTCCTTTCTGCGTGTTCTCCCTGCTCTGTAACGTCCCAGGTGCTTTTCTCTCCCCCCCTGCCCGCCCCCCAACCCCGGGGCTGCACTTCCAGAGCGCACGCGGCAGCCCTGCGCGGGCGCAGGGAGGATGGGCGGTGGCCCTGACCTCAGGCTCTCAGACAGGGAGGGCAGACATCGCTGGCCGAAAACGGGCCGTAACAACCACACTAATCACTGAGATTCGGAGCAAGAACTGGGTTTGCTAACCCTTGGATCGGGAGAGGGTGTCCCGGCAGAGGTGGCGTGTGAGCGGGCGCAGGGACAGCTGGGGTGGGTGGAGCGTGGCAGGTGGGATGTGGGAGGGGCTGAAGTGCCGGGGGGGGGGACACCTGGGAGCAGGTGTGATGGGGGAAGGAGCTGGGAGGCTGGGCTTCCGGGAGGCACCTAAGGTCACCGTCGGCTGGTGAAGAGACATTCCGTGGGCGCTGGGGATTTCTTGAACTGAGAGGGTCGTTTCAAAGGCCCGAGAACTAGTTCTGTGCGTACTAACTCGGCAGAAAACGTGCCCCCGACTGGCCAACCCCACGCTGCCCGCGGACGTGTGGGGAAGAAATGGCCACCCAGATTCCCCGTGGGGGAGGGCAAACAGGGCTGGGGCAGGCGCTCCGATGTTCGCCTGCGGTAGACGGAGGGCTGGACGGCGCCCCGTGACCCCGCCTGGACTGGGTGTGCCCCGACAGGCCTGGTGGGAGCTCCAGGGAGCAGGCATCGTTCTCCGCTCGCTGCGGTCTGGGCCTCGGCCGTGTGTGTCAGGAGGGCTCAGCGAGAGGGGGCGCCCCCGGGACCGACCTGGAGTAGCGCCTGTGCCTGCCTGCACCCGCCTCGCACCCAGGAACAGGCCCATGTGGCACTGGGAGCGGGGCGTTTCCGGGCAGTGGGTGGGAGGGTCGGCCACCTAAAACATGCAGGGACTGAGTCGGCACAGGACTTCGAGGCAGAAACCTGGGTGGCCCTGCTGGGCCACCCACCAGCACACGATCTTGGCCGGTTTGTACCACCATCTCTCAGCCTCAGGCCTCAGCATCTTCACGTGGAAGATGGTCCAGAGACCAGCAGGCCTCACTCGGCTGGGTTTGCTGACGGGCACTCCATCAGTGACCAGAGAACCTGGTAGCTGGCCGGGCAGGGGGCTGGGGAAGGTTCTACCAATCTCTGGGAGGCTCACCCTGGGCACACCCCTCTCTGCCTTCTGATCCTCAGGGCGCGCTCCGTGGCCTGCCGATGGGTGCGTGGGGCTGTGGCTCGGATTCTGAACAGCCTGGGCCCTGTGCTCGACCCCAGGGAGACAGCAAAGGGGGTCCCAGTGGCAGCACGGTCATTTGCCCGGTGCAAGTCGCCCGCATTCTTTCTGTTCCCAGGAAGGGGCTTTAAGGGACACACAGCCACAGCAGGAGAACTAGTGACGAAGAAATCCCTAGGAGGTGGCAAACCTGGTTTGGGGGAGCTGGGCCATGACCTCAAAACCCAACCCTGAAGTTTGTAGTAGGAGCAGCCGCACCTAGCTCACCTTCCACACTCCTACCCACCTGAACCTGGTGGGGAGACAAGCAAGAGCCGAAGCCAGGCCGTGCCTCCAGAGCGCTCGGGGCTGCTGCTGAACCCTGTCCCCCCAACACCAGCGCTAGGCTGCAGCTCTGGGAGAGGAAGTGCGGTTTTGCCTTGCTTTCTCGGGGAGGTT